AAAGGTGGAACTGAGAGGCCACTCTGCTTAGCATGTGTCAGTCTTGAAACTGAAGAGTAAGGACCATGCCTCAATAGACTTCTATACAGCATTAGGTACCTAAATTTAGGTACTACAGCTTTCGAAGTTACAGTGATGCTAACCAAAGGATACTGATAAGTCTCATAAGGGTCAAGGGAACTGTACATTAAGGTTCATAAACCTTTAAAGTACAGAGTGCCCAATTCATTTATTTTAGGTAAAGAAGTAACGTGTTATGTGTTCCTTTTTAGAGACCTAAACCCACCATTTCTGCACAACAGCAAGCATCATTAAGTAGTCTCATCTCAGACAAACTTAAACAAAGCAAACAAAAAACCCATCACAATCCTCTTGTGCTACTGACACTCAGTATGGTCGGCTAGAGCACTGTTAATGCCCGAGTATGCTTCAAACCAGTACTGCAGCTACTCTGTTCAGACCACTGAACACCTGCTTCTGAGGCCCTGCCTCTGTGATGAATCCCTGCCACCCCCATAAGGTTATACTCCAATAGTTGATGGTGGAAGGGGCAGAAGTAAGTTATGGTGAATCTAGTTCCAAAAAAGTTTAAGAAACATGGACAAAAACAAAGCACTTAAGCATTAGGACAAACTTACAAAGTGCAAATGCCCTCTGAACACAGAGCAATTTGAAAAACACTTTGGTGGCAATCATGTCACTGAAAACACTCAGCTGACCACAAAAATTATTAATCTCTGTAGATTATGTTGGACAAGTAAAATCTGAATTTGCCACCTGTATTACAATCATTGATTGAAATAATTCTGTTCTGACAGTAAACTGCAGTAAGAAAACAACTTTCATCATTGACATGTCCAATCCATGACATACCTCAGTGGACACCTATGATCTAACCTAAAGGACAGTCACTGATCTCATCTATGGCAATTGTGGATGTTTTCATCCATGAATATATAATCAAATTTGTTGTGTGTCTGTGTGCCCTATTGAACTCTAGTGGCATTGAGTTTCACAGAATAAATATGGTTATTGTCTTAAAATTGGTAATTTCTGGAAGTTCACAGAAGACAAAAACTCAAATTGTCAAAACAATTTAAGTATAAAAAAGTGGCATTGAAATCATAGAATCATTTAGGTTGGAAAAGACATTTAAGATCATTGCATCCAACCATTAACCCGGCACCATCATATTCACCACTAAACCATGTCCCCGAGTGCCACGTCTACACATCTTTTAATTACCTCCGGGGATGGTGACTCCACCATTTCCCTGGGTTGTCTGTTCTGATGCTTGACAACTCTTTACATGAAGAAACTTTTCCTAATATCCAACCTACACTTCCCCTGGCACAACTTGAGGCCATTTACTCTTGTCCTGTCACTTGTTACCTGGGAGAAGAGACCAACCCTCACCTGGATACAACCTCCTCTCAGGTTGTAGAGAGCAATAATGTCCCCCCTGAGCCTCCTTTTCTCCAGGATAAACAACCCCAGCTCCCTCAGCCACTCCTCATAAGACTTATGCTCCAGACCATTCACCACCTTTGTTGCCCTTCTCTGGTCACACTCCAGCATCTCAATGTCTTCTTTGCACTGAGGATGAACACAGGATTCAAGGTGCAGCCTCACCAGTGCTGAGTACAAGGGGACAATCACTTCCTTAAGAGTCCTGCTGGTCACCCTATTGATGATAAAAGCCAGGATGCCACGGGCCTTCCTGGCCACCTGGGCACACTGCTGGCTCATGTTCAGTCAAGCCTACCAGAGTGGCAAAGAATGCTCCTTAGCCATCTCAGTGAGGGCAAGGGACGGAGATCCACATGAGAGCAAAGACACAAAGCTTGTTGATGCATTACAAACCACAGAAACACCCAAGAACGGTCCCACAGAAATTAAGGCCTCTCCCAAAACAGGTGGCAGGATGAATAGCGCAACTCAAGCGCATCTACACCAAAACACACAGCATTGGCAACAAACAGGAGGAGCTGGAAGCCACTGTGCAGCTGGAAAACTATGACACAAAATCAATATAGTCAAAGTGCTAACTGAAGAAGCCATACCATTCAACTGCATTCCAGAAGTCTCACACTGCTCCCTTCTACCTAAAATTTCTCTTAGAAGTACAAAACACTATGTTAATACTAGCATTCAAATAGAGCAGATCGTTCATATATCAAGTTAGCATCTACTGCCAGCCATATCTGCCAGCAGCACACAGGGTAGGCCACATGTATGGAAGAAAAGCTAAATTTCTTCTGAACTGTAATCTCTCAGAAACCCAGTTATTCACATAGAACAGTTACCTAGTAAGATTAAATCACTGAAACAAAGTTAAAAAGAAGTTGCAAAGAAAGTGCTTTCAACTATGGAGTTAAATGTAGCAATGTCAGCAGACACAGAATTCCTGCAGCATACTGGGATTTAAGAGCCTCATGAGGCAACTATTACCTCCAACTTCTCATAGGGAACACCTTACTAGTCTTTTGAACTCCTCTGAACTTCAAATTTCAATCCTTTTCCACAGATAGGTTGAATTCATTGTTATTTGTAATAGAAAAGAGAAACAGTTCTCCACAAAAAGTGATTTTTTCCATTGGTAACAATTCTTGATATAAATTCTTCACAGAACTCCTCTTTCTGCTTTTGTTGCAGGGTGTATTAATTGGCTGCAAACTCAAACAATGTGACTGAACTTCAGTAATTCTGTATTTAGTCCTCAAAACCAAAAGGAAAACTTCTGTAACAACACAAGACTGTTCATGATGATTCTGGACCAAAAAAAAAACCAAACCCCAAACCCAACCAAACAACCTCAGCAAAAATCTGAAAGAGTTTGTACCAGTTTTGGTCCCACATCCCTCTGCATATTTGAACAAGCTCTACAAAAGACAAAGAAACTTGCTTTCCCTTTTTCACTGGCACTTTTACATTCTTGTTGATGCAAATTCCTCCTTGCATGTTATTCCAGGATAAGCAACAGTAGAATGCAATCATATATTTGGGGTCAAAGAGGATTAATAACAATAATAAAAAGCAAATGTAGTAGAGAATAAAGCAAATGTATTGCTCTAATTAAGACAGTCTTTTATTAAAACAAGTTATTTAGTTTAACCACCTAATCATGTGGCTGAGGAGTTTGGTTCCTACAGCTGAATTTGCAACACTAAGCACCAAAAGTGTTCCAACACACAACAGCATGGTCCTACGACATGCCATAAGAAGGCTGTACCACCATCATCACAGTTGGAGAAGGACAACGTGCCATCTACTAGGACACTTTCGCGCAAGAAGTTTACTGAGTCTTAGTAAGGTTTGTTGAATCTTAGCTGTACAGCTGTTCTTGGCAGTATTCTCATCTTTTCATAGGCAGCCACACAAAGCTTCAATAATTTTCAAACTAGCTCCAGTACACAAAAGCCTTTTTCACTCCCAACACAACAGCCTCCCTACTTCCAAAGCATTATTAGCCTTGATCACTCTCAGAAGTAACTTTTTTTGACATGAAGAAGCATCAGAAAAAGCGGAATAGCTGTTAGACTGGAATACATAATGAATCAGAAGTAAAATTAAATGGTAGCCTTACATCCAGGATATGGTAAGAGTTAAAACATTACCATTAAAATTTTTATATTGCAGTAGGAAGTCAAGGTTTAGAATACACCACTCTATTAATGATAACAGGCCATGTAAATTCTTTGGGAGTCTTTCATGTGGTTGGTAATTTTAGATGCTTAAAATAAATCCAGATCTAATACCTTCCTCCTAAGTAATGAGGTTTTGCATCGAACCACTCATTCTTTGTATGTGTAAGCCACCAAAAAGTGACAAAGAAAGTTGCAAGCTTTGCAAATCTGGGAAATCTACCACATACAATGGCGAAGAAATAAAGAAAAAAAAATAATTCAAGATACAAATGGTGGGAAAGACTGCAATACCTGAATCTGTGCTGTACCCAAGCAAGGGAGTCGGAGTGAAAGACAGGCGCTGCCTTTTTGTTTTGTTCTCGGGCTGCGAGGTCCCCACCGGAGCTGCAGGGCCGCTGCACCACCCACAGCCGCCTCTAGTGGCACAGCCCGCGCACCGCGTCCCCGTTCGGGCGCTCCCGAACCTCTCTATTCGTGCGCCCTCCACCTTACTTGCTCCTTCACTGCACTACTCTGCAATTTCAGAATCCCCCGTGCAGCAAAAAAATAACCCCATTATTAAAAAGGGCAGAACCTAGAGTCAAATTACATCCCAGTCCTGCTGATAGGGTCTGGCAACCAGGCACTCCTTAGCCAACCCAACAGAGATCACAACCTGCTCTGAAAATCCCACACAGACAAAACACCAAAAATGCTCGCTTATTGAGAAACTGTGGGTTTCCCCAGCGTTCTCCAGCTTTTTGGGGAAGAGGCAAAGCAGACAGCTCAGAAGCCCTACCAAAGAGAACAAACTGTGACTGACACCCAACAAAACCAACCAGGCAAATCTGGGGGTGTAGAGAACAAGTCTGAATGCACAAAAGAGACACGATGGAGTGCGCTTCACAAATTGTGGGGTGATTTTATACCTCTCACGCCTCTTCTTAGCTTCAAGATGTTATGCAGGAATGGGATTGGAGAAACGGGGGAAAAAATTCAAGATGGCTGAAGGTGTCTTGTCCGGATTTTCATGCACGCTCTAGAACTCTAGAGGGCACTCGAAATATGCCCTCGTCCTCCTCCCTCCTGAGCCGGGTAACGTGAGCGGCGGCAGCAGCCCGTCGTCTGCTTGCCGGAGTTGGTATTGCAGGAGCGATGTCTGCAGCAGCAGCGCCAACCCCGTGGAGGCGCCGCCTCACAGCCATTACTGGGGCTTCGCCCCAGGGCAGCAGCTGCTGGACCCAAGAATTTCCCCACCCAATCCTGGAGGCACCTCCTTCCACCCCTGCCCCCGGGGGAATAAGGGGGATGTGGATCAAGCCCTCCCTAAGCAGGGCTAGCAAAGGCAGAAATAGATACACAAATAGCACTCACAATGGAGCTCCCTCTCCTTGTTGGTCTCTGCCAAGGCTGCACCAAACTGGGCTGGAGCCTAAGGGAAAGACACGGGGTTAACACAGGGCAGGGAAGATTAGGCAGCGCCCCCAAGCAGCGTTTCCTTCGCCTGGCCAGGGCAGGTACCGCCTGCATCACTCACCACTTCCCTTTAATCCCAACCCTTAAAATAAATAAATAAATAAATAAAT